TTCACGCATAAAGTGGCCAGGCACTAGAAATCGTCCGCCAGAAACCCAACCCTGAAATTCAATAGCGTCCATGGGTTTTCGGCATTGGAATGCCGCGCTTCCCATCGAACGGATGTTTCTTGGCATGGGGTCCAACCGTATGCGAAACAATCCGCTTCCCCCTTGCCGCCTGCTCGCGCCCGCAGCCCTTCCTGCTTGGAGAAGGGGGGGGCGGCAGCTTCGTGGAGGGGGCCGGGGGCCCCCCATGCTAAACCCAGAAGTGAGGATCATCGAGGATTGGTCAGGGATGTTGCCAACAAGGCGACGCCCAGACCAAACCAAGATTGTCCATCCTTCTGATTTGATTGGAACCCCCTTCTTGTTTGGCGGGGGGGGCGGCAGCTTTGGAGGGCGGCCCCTACCAGACCCAGAAGTGAGGATCATCGAGGATTGGTCAGGGATGTCGCCAACAAGGCGACGCCCAGACCAAACCAAGATTGTTCATCCTTCTTGATTTGGTTGGGATATCCTTCGGGCTCGGCGGGGCGCGAGATGGATGCGGATGACGATCAAGATGTTGACGCTGACGATGCTGGGGATAATGGCCCTGCTGTTCTTGCCAAGCATTGATGAACCACGTTCAGACTGAGCCCAGTTGGTTTATGTATCCCGCCAAGCTGAGGAAGAGCCCCGTAGACTCTGGTTTATTGATTGAGGTGGGCCAGTGGGGAGCAGTGCTAACGCGCTAGCGAACGTTGACAGCATTCAGATTATCCTCCTTTGCTTCCTACTCCTCCTCCTCCTCCTTTGCTTTCCTGCTCTTCCGAATCATCATTCTCGTCTTCCTCCTCATCCTTTGCCTCCTCAGCTGCTCTCCGCGCCCACCTCGGCCGTTGCTGATATTTCTTGTTGATTGGGGTGTGGCAGCACAAAACGATGTTGAACGACGTGGTCGGGTGCATGGGGGATCGGAGAAGTATTTCCCATCATATTATCGTCTCAGCGCTGAGCCTGACGCGGGCGCGGAGAAATTTCAACTTGAGCGAGGGGTCGAAAACGTGATGGGGGACTGAGATTGGAAAAAGGCTCAGGACGGCAGCGCGACACATCTTCGACGCAGGCCGCGCCATTTGCGGGGGGGGCGTCGGCGGCGCGCCGAGGAGAGGGGGGGAGCGGGGGGGGATGCAGGGACACTGCTTCTTAGAAGGGACTTCTAGGAAGCCCTCGGGGGCTTTCGGAATCACCCCTCCTTTCCAGAAACCGCCCCCGCCCCCCCAGACGCCTCGGCGCGCCGCCGACGACGACGTGGATGAGGGGCACGAGGATCGAATCCGGCACGAGGAGGAGGGGTCGAATAGCGAAGAGGAGCAAGGGGCGAGGAGGAGCAGGTGCGAGGAGGAAGAACAGCTAGGAGAGCAAGGGTATTAAACGATGGGAGGGGCAGGGTGGGAGACAGAGGAAGGGTCGATGAAATCGCGATGAGGGTGCAATGAGGTTGCGATGAGTTTCAGTGCTGGCGCCTGCACTGTTGAAAATAACTGCAACGAGTTTCAATGCCAATGCCCACCCAGCTGCGCGAACATGCTTACATATTACAGACTCCCAGATACGACTTGGCTCCGCGAATTCACAAAGCTACCGACGTGGATAGATGCCATTGGGGGCGGCAGTGATGGTAGACAAGAGGATGAAAATGTGCGACAGGGGACAGGCAGAGGACACCGTGTGAAACGATCAGCGGCATGCATGAGGAAGCCTGCAGCGGTGGCAAGGAAGCCGAGTGCAGCACGGTGCGAGGAAGATAATGGCGAAGGTGATGAGGGCAAACGCGAAGACGAGGAGGAGGAAGAAGAAGACGAGAAAGAAGAGTACTAATAAGAAGAAGAAGAAGACACACACACTAAGAAGAATAAGAAAAAGAGGAGAAGGAATGCGCCGATGAAGATGCAGCACCGCCAGAAACCCCACAGAACAAGCCAGCGGCGATGCCGGCGCCAGCGAAGCGCTCGAAATATAGCCCGACCGCATCGCATGATGAGATCCCAGAGCCCATGTTCGTCGAGATTCAGAAAGCGAGCCCTCTAGCCCCGAAGCCAAAAGCTCAGCCGAAAGTTGCGTTGCATCACCCTGAAGCCCCCCCCCCCCCGGAACAAGGCGCCGCCCGCGTCGAAAAGACGAGTGGGGAGGCGTCGAAAGCAAGGACAGGAATCGATCCGCCACTATCGAGGCACTGCCACGCCGAGATGATATATAAATAAAGTTTGACGGACAACGAGCATCCATACGGCGCAAAGCATCGAAGACAAAGTTCGGCCCTCCCGAGTTCAGCGACGCCTTGAGTTCCGAGGGCGATCGAGTGGCACCCCAATTCTCGACCTGTAAGTTCAGCGTTCCGAACGTGGCAGCGTCGGGCCTTGGGGCGCGTCAATCCGCATCAGCAAAGCGCCAGCAGAAACAACGCGGCAACAACTTCTGGGTCGGGCACGCCTCCGAGAAGAACCGACTACGAGCGCGCAAGCAG